ATAGGGAGCCAGGGGTTAATAAAAAAAAATAAAATAATAATAATAATCATATAATACATGGAGCCAGGGGTTAATAATAATAATAATAATAATAATAATAATATAGGGAGTTAAGAATAATAATATAATACAGAGAGTCAGGGGTTAATAATAATATAACACAGAGTCGGGGGTTTATAATAATATCATTCATAGAGTCAAGGGTTAATAATAATATAATACAGGGGTTAATAATATAATACAGGTAGCATAATATTAATAATAATATTATACAGGGAGCTATGGGTTGATAATAATATAACACAGGGAGCCAGGGGTTAATAAAAATATAACACAGGGAGTTAATAATAATGTAATACAGGGAGCCAGGGGTTAATAATAATATAATACAGGGAGCCAGGGGTTAATAATAATGTGTTACAGGGAGCCAGGGGTTAATAATAATATAATAATATAATCCAACCAGAGACCATCCTGGAGCTTGTTAACCTCTATTAACAACTTGTTCTAAGTGTGCGTCTGGGTCGGCACAATTCCTATGGACATCCACAAGGTGGCGGCCATCTTGTTCACATGAACGCAGGCAGCGGTGTTTGGGCATGAATCTCCTGGAACCAAAATCGGATACAGAAACTCCCGAACTTCCATCACCACCTGCGTTCGGTTCTATACTGTTCGGTGGAATCGTTTGTCTGGATGAGGGGAACAAGCTCCAGGGTTAGACTATTGACTCTGTTCAGTAGTTTATTCGTTTTTAAACTTCCGAACTAGACCGACCGCAAGCCCTGATTTTCTGGAACTATTTTGGGCATGGGACCATGCCTGCGGTCGGTCAAATAAATGACTGCCAGGAAATTCCTGAACCCCTGAACTGTTCTGGGTAATCTTTGGATATGTTGGTCGCCCAGATCAGAGCTGTCAGGGGATGTGACATTTGTGGGGGGGTTGTGTGTTTTAAAGGTGTTTTTGAGGTTTTGTAGAAATGTGTGTTTTGTGTTTGGAGATTATTGAGTTTAGTTCAGTGCTTGACTCAGTTATCTCCCAGGTACAGAGGATTAATCTATTATGTGTGGAGTGTCCTGGATCTGAGAGCCAATGTGTATTTGTGTATTTGTTTCTGCTGTGGTTTACTCTCAGGTCCAGGGGGGAGTGCTCCTTGCATGGGAACTTGCATAAAAGGCCAGTTGTGGCTACCATTAAATTAGTTCCGGCTTGCCCTCAACATAGAGCCTCATCTCATATGTGGGGAAAACGGCTGTATCTACCCTGGGGATTGCTATATCACTATACTCCTCTGGGATTATAATCACTTGCTCTTTCAAGAGCATATTGCTACACTCTCTTGGAGGTGAGGTCTACCCACTGGAAGCTGGATCCTGATCCTGGGTCCAGGGTGGGTGGAGGACCGCGAGACCCAGCCAAGCTGTAATGCTGGAAGTGGGGACTGCGGTGCTGATGGTGTCTGGTGGAGTGCTTGGAAGTACTCGGAGGTACTAGGAAGCAGTGATTGGTGGAGGCACCCAGTCGGGGTGCCAGATGCACAAATAACAACTGCATTAACTCCTTAAAGTGAACACTATATAATATGGGTGCATATTCGCAGGTCACTTAACCCAGGGTTAACTCTACCTCTAATGGCTGTCTACCAGACCGCCACTAGAGGGACTTCCATGTTGTTGGGTGAGTTATGGTCCAGCGTCACCAAAAATCCTATAGAAAAGCATTGTATAATTTCCTATGGAGAAATCCA